CCCCCCAGCACGCAAGCAAGCAAAACAACATGTCCAGCCGTCGGCCCCAAGAAGCCCCCAAGAGGAGCCATGAGGCCCCTAAGAGGTCCCAAGAGACCCCCCAGAAGCCCTCAGGAGACCCCCCCCTCCAGCACGCAAGCAAGCGCTAGCGATGTGCTACAAGATCGGCCCGAGAGGCTTCCAAGAGGGGCCCAAGACTCCCCAACAGCGCCCCAAGACTGCCCCAAGAAGCCCCCAAATGCCCACAACGAAGCCCCCAGGGCCCCCTCCACCTCCTGCTGCCCTTCCTCCTCCTCCTTTTCCCTCCCACGGCGACGTGCCAGAACTGTCGCAGCAGATACACTCTGTGCTCATCGCCAACATCCTTTGACGCAGCCCGGAGAAAACAACCAATCCGACACACGCATCCCCCCCCTCTCCTGACCCACACACACCCCCACACACACACATCCGGGAACAATGCAGAAGGAACGAGAAAACAGGACGAAGAGGAGAAACAGAAAACTGTTCATTGCCGCCCGCGTCCGCAACGACAGAGGACATCAGCACTACACGAGAATCAACGTTCCCATTCAACGCCTGCCACCGTCCGACACGACAAAAGCGGCACAACCTGAGTCCCCCGCCCCCTGCAGTTCCGCACTGCCGACGGCCACTCGGCCAGTCAACGGCGGTGCGCGATATGGGCCGGCGGAATGAGCGAAGCGATTAAATAACATTGAATAGGAAAACATCCACATGTACATCTCACGATGACCACGGTAAGTCTACCATGTCCGTGGCCTGCTTGGGCATCAGTCTGACACACAATATGCCCTTGGCGCTGAACTCCCCGAGCAGCCAGACACCTGTCCAGACACCTCCCCCTTCCCCCAAGCCCGATCTGCGCGACCGCGGTGGGGGCGAAGCCCGCGAGGGAGGCCGCTCAGACGCCCGTGAGCTCTGCTCGGGCGGAGCTTCCCCTCGCAAGGATTCGGCCCTGCCTGCGCATGCCGCCAGATCGCCTCGTGCAATGGCCCAGCACGCCGCCGGTGCATCCAACGAATTTTGTACCGCCTGCCCGGAGCGGCAGAGGCGCGGCGCCACACCCCCCCCGAACTGATCGACGGGGGCGCCCGCCGCCACTTGCGGCCCGCCAGGTCGCATCCTCCACCCCCACCTCCACCACCTCCCCCCTGATCTGATCTACCTCCCAAACATCCGCCCAAACACCCCCCCAATCCCCCCGCCCACGTCAAGCACCGGATCCGGCGCGCATCGCGTGCCAACGTGTGTGGGGGGGGGCACCAGTCTGGGCTCACCAACGGAGCTTGCCACCGATGCCGTACTTCACAAGCAGAGACTCGTAGTAGGGCTTCAGCGCCTTCACATCAGGGACAGCATCGCCCTTGGAGTACAGATCGAACTTGTTGAACTCCCTCACCCACCGAAGGGTCTCTTTGTCCTCCGCGACCTCAAAATGCGTGTACGCGCGTTTGTCATGCCATGGGTAGCACGAGTGGAGCCGGATCATGTTGAGGCCCTCCTCTGGAATGGTGCAGCCGTTGTACTTGAGCATCTGGTACATGTACTCGTCGTGGCCCCAGGAGAACATGAGGCTGGAGATGCCGCACCCTGGCTGATACATGCCATGCTTCGTGCCGTAGACTGGGTGTTCGTAGTCCGGGTTCTGCTTGAAGGACTCTGGGAACACGATGGCGTCCATGGCGGGTGCGCAGCCCACCGGGAAGGTGTCGCCGACAACGGCCCACTGCTCCAGCATCCAATCACCGGCGAACTTTGGCAGCGCCATCACCTTCCCGAGGTCGTGCAGCAAGCCCACCAGGTGGAACCAGTCGTGCTCGGGCCACTGGGCACGGATGCGCTCTGCCGTCTGGAAGTCGTGGATGCTGTTCGGGAGGTCCACGTCGGGGTCGGAGTCATCGATAAGGTCGTCCAACATCTCAATGATCTCCATGACGGTGAACTCGCCCTTCTCAAACTTCAGCCACCGCTCGCGCTGCTGGAGGCCAAAATCCACTGTCTGCTTGGTGTGCATAGTATTGTACGTCCTGGCAACTTCGTCCTGCCGGCACGAATCCTCATAGTTGCGGAACGTGTCTCCGAACATGTTCTTGCCCTCGTCCACGCAAACGCTGAGATTGGAATCACACGTGCTCCGGGTCTCAGAATCAGCATCCTTATTGCTCTTGTCCAGGTCGGCGAGTAGGCCATCCATGTCCTTCAAGTCCACCGAGCGGCCAAGCTTCCACGACAACTCTGCGGCAATCGTGGTACGCACGATGCTTGGATGCCGCGACAGCGCTTCCTGCTCGAGGCGGTGGTGCTCGCTGCTGCGTCCAGCGCGCACCATCGTGATGAACTCGTTGAGCTCGGTGGTGTATGCCTCTTTGTAGCGCTGCGGGAAGCTCCACTGTGCGCAGGGCATAAGGTGGCCCTCCGACGTAGCCAACTCCACAGTGCTGGTAAGCTCGTTCTTTGCCGTCAACATTCCCTTGCCGCCGAATGCCTCGATGCGCTGGTCGTAGCCGTACGTAGCGTCGCGACAAGTGTCCACCATGGCCATGAGGCCGCTAGGGTACTTCAGCATCACAGCAACAGTGTCGATGTCGCCCATCTTCTCGATCTCGCTGTTGTACGCGTGTCCCACGGACATCACCGACTCTGGCTCCTGACCCCCGCTTAGCCAATTGAGCATGTCGAAATCGTGGATCAACATGTCGTGGAAGATGCCTCCACTGGTGCGCAAGTACTCCATGGGCGGCACAGGGTTGTCCCGGCTGCAGCACTTAATAACCTTGAGCTCGCCAACGGAACCATCATCCACGTGCTTCTTGAGCGTACGGAAGTTCTTGTCACAGCGCCTCTGGTAGCCGCAGTACAGCGGCAAATTCTTGCTGGTTGCCAGCTTCACGGCCTCCTCGACCTCCTTCAGCTCGTGCGAGATGGGCTTCTCCGTGAGCACGGACTTGTCGGCGCTCAGCGACTGCATGATGAAGGGGAAGTGAGTGTCCGTCGTCGACGCTATGATCACTACCTGCACGTCAGGGTCCGCGAGGGCTGGCGCAAGGGAGCCCGCCCAGCTGCAGCCCTTCTCTGCGGCGACGCTCTTGGCCCGGGACTCGTTCACGTCGACAACCCATTTGAGCTGAGCCTGCTCGGGGATGCCGGCGATGGAGGTCATGTGGAAGTGGCCTGCGCGTCCGAGTCCAACGATCGCCACGCCGATGCGTCCGTTCGTCTTCGCCATGGCGCCTGTGCTGGTGCCGAGCGGGCTGTGCGAGGAGCGCGGGGAGGAAGCGCGGGCGCCGCTCCAGACGACGCTTGCCCTGAAAGCAAAAGCTTGAGCCAAAATGGCTACGGAAATCTTAAGAATAGTTTATGTTGACCACTGCACGTCTCGATTAAAGTGCTCCTCCCGGGGTTCGACCCTGTCTTAACCAGGGAAGGTCTTGGGGCTCAGATTGGGCCCCTGGCCCCCGACTTCTAACAACAACGGTTTCCGCCTGATGGTTCCTCACCATGTACTTTGAAATCGCGCTCTCGCGCGAGACTCAATCACAACTCATGCAAGAATCACGCTCTCGCACGGGATTCCCTCACAATTGATTGAGACGCCGCATCCTCGATACTCAGCAATCGTCCACAATGTATTGGGGAATCGCGCTATCGCTCGAGACTTCCTCGCGTTTCATGCAGGACGCACACTTCAGCGACCCGCCTGCTCGACCTGGCCGCATGGGCCCGCGCCTTCCCGACCCGCCCGTTAGGGTATGCCCGCCCGATCTGCCCGTCTGGTTCTGCCACATGTTTTCTGCTCCTAGCCCCCCCTCCTGCTAATTTCTCTCGTGCTCCATCCTTGTCCATCCCCCTTCCATCCGTCCCTTCTTCCCATGATTGAGGGCCTGCGCGAGTTGCACGTGGCAGGTAAGGAAGATATACCCCCGAGGCGGTACGATCAAAGACGAAGAGGGTGGGTACAGAGGGTTTGGGATATACGTGGTGAACGGCACGCAGGCAAATAGGAGCGAACACTCTTGAAATGAATGTTGCTGTTGCATTGTTTGATGTTTGCTGTCGTCGTCCCACCCGCGACCCGGCCCGCGACCCATCCACGACCCACCCACGACCCACCCGCGACCCACCCGCGACCCACCTGCGACCCACCCCGCAACCCACCCGCGACCCACCCGCGACCCACCTGTGACCCACCCGCGACCCACCCACATTGCTTTCACGAACAAAGTAAAGGGGCCGAACGGTCATTCACGGGCGCGTGGCTGAAGTGAGGTCCCGCGGTGAGGATTTTGTTGTTGTTACGTTGTTTGTTGTTTGGTTAGGGCGCCCACGAAGGCCGTACGCGCCTACCCACGTACATGAATGCAGCCCGCCAATCCTCGAGACTGGCCGCGTGATACGAACGTTCGCGCAATGCGTACTCTCGAAACTACCGTGAACTTATGTACGTGTACGTCCTTCTTTCTCTCCTGATTGTTGTCGTCGTCCCACTCGCGACCCAGCCCGCGTCCCACCCGCGACCCGGCCCGCGACCCACCCGCGACCCAATCGCGACCCTCCCGCGACTCACCCGCGACCCACCAGGCGACCCACCCACATTGCTTTCACGAGTAAATCGACGCCGGCGGCGGGCTCGTTGTATGATGTTTAAAGCTTAGGCGCCTGCGACGGGCATCCTGGGAGCCTCGCAGACTGCCGACGTCCCCACCACCCCCTCACTCTTATCCGCAACGGCGGGGTGCTACGAGTGTCGCTGCTCGACGCTTCCAGCGCCACTGCGCCCGAAAGCTTCCTGGGCAACAGAGACGACCCTCTCCGAATGGAACCTCGGATGGCGGGGAGGCTGCCCGTCGGCCCGACGGACGACATTCGCAGGGCAAGCGGCCGCGAGCTTGGACCGCGTACGGAGGTGGCGGGGGTCGCATGGCGCTTCGAAGGGTCTATCTGGGGTCGCGAGGGAGCAGCTCATGGCATGCACGGGTCCGAGCTCCTGAACCGTGTGGTCATGTGAGGGATGCGACATGAGAACGAGATGAAGGTCGATCGACGGACTTGTCAACCAGATGGCAGGACGAGGCTCTGGGCAACGACTTGCTGGGAAAACGTAGTCGAGTGAAGAATATACTCGTCCACGGTGGTTCCAGCTATCACGTTTCTGTCCTGAGCGCCAAGCGATGTACCGCAAAGCGATATCACGCGTAACGGATCTGGCATGCCACATTTTTCTTTGTCCTTGAATGCCAGGACGGCCCGAGTTATCGGCTCACCTTCTTTTGCCTCATGGCCCCAAGGGGACCTCCATGACGGAGTCCCCAGGAGGGAGGACAGAAGATAGGGCCTGGCGGCCTCCCCCCTGGCATAGTCGCTGCACGTTTTACGTATCTACATCCCGGCCAAAAACTGCGCGAGCAGTCCCGGCGACTGGCCACTCGCCTGTCTCTCCGGCGCCCGCGGGCCGGGCCGCCTAGCGGCTGCGCAGGGCACGCCTCAGTGCAGCCAGCCTCCTAGAAAGCACTGTCACTAGCGACAGCAGCAGCCAACACAAGCTGCCCCTGCAAGCAAGCTGCCAAACAGGGTCGGGTCGCTTCAGGGTGCACACAGTCCCGCTGTCGAGCTGGGCGGTAACGTATCGGCGAATGATTTGACCAGCCAGCTTGCGGCCGAAGCCCTCCGTACGCAGCAGCTGGAACAAGAACGGGTCTGGGTTGCCTGCGGCCAAGAATGCGAGGAGTGAGTTCTCTCGCAGAAACCTCCTGGACAACTTCGCGGCGGTTGTTCCCTGGACAGCCTGGTGGGTCGGGACGAGATCCTCTGTGAAAGCTGCCAGAGCCGACTTGCCGCCCTTCACGGGGCGCAAATGGTGGGGCAACAGAGAAAGCTGCCAACCGGTTTGGCACGCGGTCGGGTCGCCAGGACGGGCGAGGTAGATTGGCGCCGTGCTGTATCCCTTCTTCTTCATCCGTGGGGCCACTGCTCCGCTCGGATCATCCACCGCGATGACGGTGGAGCCCGGCATCCTGTTGTGCGCGTGGAGGACCTTCATGCCACCAGCCTCGATCGTGCTTACAGCATCCGCGATGCTCTTTCCGAGCTCCCGGTACAGCTTGACGTAGCCCTGCTTGCCCATGAGCTTCATGTCCGCCAAACCGCGCACCAAGTCCGCTGCCCCAGGTCGGGCACCGACCCGTCTGCCGCCCCGTAGGGAGGACAAGATCCCGTGGGTGCCCACGATCGTCGAAAGGCCCTTGTCGGTGCCCAAATGCTTGTGAGCGTCCTGCGTGACGATGACAGGAGTGATGCAGCCTTCCGCGAGGTCGAGCAGGCGCATGCTCCGGGAGCCACCCTCGCCGTCGTTGTGGATGAGCACACTGAAAGCCAGGCAGCTGTCGTTGATCACGACGACGGGCACGCCCTCCTTGGCTGCACGGCCCTTGTTCTCAGACTCCACTACGGCCAAGATCTCTGCAAGCGGATCGCTGATACCGTCGGTGTAGCTGAGCGACTGCGTGTACACAGCGGTGACGCATGGATCTGATATGTGGTCCCGAAGTTTGTCGACGCAGATTGCGCCATCCACGTCCAGCCTGATCAACTCAAACCCGAACCTCCGTGCGGCCCTTTCCACTGCCAGGTGCGGATTGCCAGTCAGCACCCGCAAGCGCGGACCTGGGCGGCTGCAAGCCTCGTCCCTGGCCATAACAGCCTCAAAGGCGCAGTTGATGCTGCGGGTGCCCCCGCCAGTGGTCATGCCCTCGGCCTCGACGCCGCGGCCCCCGATGAACTCCTGCTGAAAGCTGATGAACTCACCCTCCAGCTCCTGCCTTGAATCCGAGATCCCAGGTCCGCTCAAGTCCACTTGAGCTTCCATCTTGGCCTTGGCCCACTGGAGCACCTCCTCTACCGGGATGCCCTTATCCACCGACACCGCTGGAGCGGCCAAACGGATCGGCTGCCAATCGTACTGGCTCCTGTCCGGCATTGGCGCTCCGCGCGCGATGTTCGCGACTGCGGCCCACCCGAGCAGGAACGTGCAGAAGTCAAGCATGAGCGGCCGGCCATTGCAGCTGCCCCCCTCGTTCGGTGACATGTAGACAGTCTGCCACTCGCACGGCACATCCATGTGCAAGTCCCGCAGCGTGGTGTCGCGGTACAGCGTGTAGCCACAGTTGAGCAAGCCCTCCTCGATGCTGACGCTGCGGACCCCTCGCGGAAGCTCGAGGTGCACCGGGGACGCGTTCTCAGTGAAGATCCTGCGCAGCTGCGCGTCGGTGACGTGGACGTGGAGGCCAGCGGCGTGCCGCTCCGCCCACGCTGCGGCCTCTCCCAGCGACGCGCTACCCAGGCAGGCCATCACTGCGACTGGGCGCCTGTCCCGCGGCTTCTTCTCCAGCATGGCCAGCCCGCCCTCCTCCATCTCGGCGAGTTCGAGACCTAGGCGCTTAGCGCAATGGCGGATGTCTGGCAGCGACTCTCCGGCGTCGCCGACAAGGAGCACGGTCTGGTCGGCCCTTCCCCGCCGCTCTTGGCGGTAGGAATACAAGAGCAGGGACAGCGCCTCGTTGCCGTCGGACGCGAAGGAAGCGAACGGCAAGCCAAAAATGTGTTTCGGGAAATTCAGCAGGTTGCCAATGATTGCTGCGTCCACCACGCTGGGGTGCAGCGGGTTCCTATTCCTCAGCTTGGTGTTGCAGAAGACAAGCTCGAGAATCGCAAGGGCCCTCTTCTGGTCGGCCTCGGAGAGGGATCTGAGCGTGTCGCTTGTCCTGATCTCGTGCATGAGGAGATCCCCGTTGATTTGATGGAACGTGTCAGAGACGCCGTAGATGTTGCCGCTCTGCACCACCGGCTCTTCGGCGCCATCCATGCCGAGCAACTCGTCGATGAAAGCCTTCACCTCCTGGTAGGAGCAGCCCCTCTCGGAGAAGTGGAGCAGGCTGCGCATCTCCGCGTGTGTCAGCACCTCAGGGTTGACCGCGCGCTCGCAAAGGGCCTTCAGGGCGTCCCCGAACAGCGAGCTCGTGGCGGGCACGCTGCCGCGGCCAGGCCGCACGAGCGCGTGCATGGTCCCTGTGGCGCGAAGCGCTCCCGAGCTTGGCGGCAGGCGGGCGCTCTGGGTCAAAATCGCCCCCCAGCCTGAGAAACTCAAGCCGAATGGCAACGGCATCCCAAACGTCGGGCTTTGGGGGGGAGGAGGGCGGACGAGAAGAGGGAGAACGAAAGCCAAGGCAATGGCGAAGACGGGAAGAAGATGAGGGCGAGAGCGACAGCGAGAGTGTGGATCTGAGTACGGCAGGTTCATATCGTGACGACCTGCGCGTTGGTTTCTGACACCGCGAGGATCGCTCAATCTTAAACGATCGGCGGCTTCCCGATCACCCGCTCATTCCAGGGTTTCCGATCTGGGCCACTGCCTCCGCGGCTGGGGTCTCCGCCGCGTCGGCACGACTCGAACCTACCGTGGGCATCGGGTCGAACACACGCGGATGAGGATGCGGATGAAGATGGTAACGAGAATCCGCCGACCCCCGCCTGCCCAGAGTGCAGAGACGCGTGAGAGGATTGGCTGTCCCCTCCTCCCTTCTCCCTCCCCTGTGGCCCAAAATCGCATGAGAGAGGGGGGGGGGCCGGCGAGGGGGACCGAGCGAGCTCCTCAACGGCACCCGGGACCTCAGGAACCCCCAAATCCAACCTCCGACGTCTCCAAGATGCTCAAGAAGGGAATCAATGGCTTGCATAGCACTCAAGATGGCCTCAAGACGGCCCCAAAGGCATCCAAGACGGCCCAAGGAAGGCTCGATGCCGAAGAAAGCCCCAAAAGGCAAACAACTATTCTCCCAATCCCGCAAGGAAATCTACAAGTCTAGCATACTCGCCTTTCCGTCTTACCAACGTCCACGCTGGCCTAAAGGTCCCCCATATCGCACCCAAACAGCATAGGAACCCAAAGAACGCCCCAAGATGGCCACAATAGGGCCCCAGGAGGGGCCCGGCAGGGGCAAGTCGAACTGACACTTCGAAGTCTCCGCCGAGGCCCCCAAACCCCTTACAGAATCCCCCGCTTTCCCGAACCGCCAGGAGGCCCCCGAGCAGCCCCCGAGAGGCCCCAAAAGACATCCAAAAGGCCCCAAGGCCCCACCTAACGGCTCCGAAAAACCTGCCTCCCCGAGGCTGCCCAGAGGCGTCCGAACAGACCCCAACAGCCACCCCAGAGACCTCAGACCCACAACCTAAGCACGCTGGACGGTTGGACCGAAGGCCACGATATCATATATATATATATTCATATATATATATATATATATATATATATATATATATATATGTGCCCGTAGACGTGTATATGTGTATATACACATATATACACTATAACCACGCGCGCTTCGCGCGCGCTTGGGTTCCAGGGCAGGCCGAGCCAGCCTCACAAGTTCGGGTGATAATGACATCATCCTGCAAGGATCACCATACGGGAGCGTACTGCCAGATGGACGCTTCAGGAGTCGCTGAATAAGCAGGCCCTAAGGGATCCTGCTGCTCTGAGCAGGTACACCGAGCAACATCCCGAAGATAACAGTTGGGAGGCATCGGGAGGCTCGTGGCCTGTGGACCGTCTTCAACGGTCTTGAAGATCTCCTGGGCGTCTCGAAGGCCCCTCGAACTGCCTCGGAGGTGTTTGGGAGGTCCATTGGTAACCGTGGGTGCCAATGATATTGGGCAACTCGAACCATCTAAGGGCTGCCAAGGTCAGTCGAAGCCGTAGCGGGCGCGGCTTTGGGGATCCCTGAGGCCGTGCTGTGCCTCGCTGGGATGCGTCAAGATGGTGCACGATACACGGTACCAGACAGATGACGCGGCTCACCCTTCTATTGGAGGCGACGTCCAGCACGACTTCGCGCCATAGGTATGCGTGCAGGGCGATTCCCCAGATGGTTTCTGGAAAGCGCCCAGGAAGGCTCCAGGAAGGCGCGAAAGACAGCCACGCGGACGACCCAGGGTAGCCTGAGGGGGGATGCCCGAGAGCCTCTAACAGCCTGGCAGAACCATGCTGGGAGTCTCCTTAGATGCCTTCGGGGGGCGTTCTTGGAGGGATCTTGGGGGTTTCTCGGGGGTGGGGTCTCTTGAATTACTGTTGGGGGCCTCCTGGTGGCCTGCTGCGACTCCTTGGGCGCGCCTCGGGGGCCTGGGCTCGAAAAGTCGGATGGGGTCGACCTTAAAGAAAGGGATCTGAGGGATTTCCCTTTTTTGTCTTGCTGGGTTTCCTTCCACATAGTGGAGCAGGATGCTGGGCGAGAGCGGCGGAGGAAGGGAAAGAGTAAAGGCGAAATGAGGATGAGGCATGGAGGGGAGGAGACGGAAGGCTTCGCACGGCGTTTGCATAAGCAACCCTCTGACTTGCTTCATCATGGGGCCGGGATCGCGTATCCATTTCGATTCAGTCACGCACAGCCATGCTCAGGTCGCTGAAAGTCTCTTGCGGCTAAACGTTCAGAGTGGAAATGTCCATGCAACTATTATTAGATGCACACATGGGGAGCTCCACGCAATGAATAATTTGTTCTTAAACGACTCCCCCTGGGGCTTCGCCCCAGCGCGCCAAGCACCCGGAAATTGCAACGTCTGTTGGTCTCCCCGGTCAAAACGGTGCCCTGAGGGCCACCAGGACGGTCAAGATGGCCCAAGATTGCATCACATGTCGCACAAGATGGTCCAAGATGGTCTCCAAGACGGGCCAAGAGGGTCCAAGATGCTTCCAAATCCGCCCAAGAAGCCACCAAGACGGTCCAAACTGGCTTCAAGATGGCCCAAGGCGCTCCGATACGCCCCCAAGAGGCCTCCAAGACGGCCCACGAGACTCCGAGTAGGTCCTCCAGGAAGGTCCGACGAGGTCAAAATCATGCATGTTCTTTGTTATTCGAGGATTCTGGCATTTGCATCTCTTCGGCCTTACGAGGACCCAAGACGGCCCAAGAAGCACCCAAGATCGCACAAGAGGCCTTCAAAATTGCCCCATAACGGACCAATGGGCCTCCAAGACGGCTCCAAAAGGACCCGAACGGCACCAAAGGCCTCCAAGACGCCCACCGATGGCATCCGAGACGACCATGGAGCAACCCAAGAGGGCCCCAAGTCGGTTCGAAGAGGCCCACAAGACGCCTTCCGAGGGCGTCTTGGGGGCAAGGAACGCCCTAGGACGGCCAAAGAGGCTCCCAAGAAGCCCCCAATTGCCCTGAAGAGGCCCGAGGAAGCCCCCAAGAGGCCTCCAAGAGGCTTCCGGGAGGCCCAAAGAGTGCCCCACGTGGCTCCCAAAAAGCCTCTTCCTCCTCCTCCTACCCCTCCTCCTTCCTTTTCCTTCCATCCCCTCATGATCCTCTTCCTTCCCCCACGTGTTCCCCGAAGGGTTTCCAAAACGAGTGGGGTCAATCATGGTCAAATAGTTCGGCCAAACTGTGTCTGAACGTTTGGCCACATATACATATGTGAAAAGAAGGGGCGGCGATGCTTCGCCGTAGGCGCCTTCGAATCGGATGGCCCCTCCTCCTCCTGCTCCGTCTCCTGCTCATGCTCCTGCAGGTGCTCTTGCTCCTGCCCATCCTCCCCCTCCTCCTCCTCCTCCTCCTCCTCCTCCTCCTTCTCCTCCTCCTCCTCATCATCATCATCATCATCCTCCTCCTCCTCCTCCTCCTCCTCCTCCACCGCATCCTCCCGTCTGCCCCCTTCCTCCTCCGCCTCCTGTTCCTCCTGCCCCTCCCCTTCCTCCTCCTCCTCCTCCTCCTCCTCCTCCTCCTCCTCCTCCTCCTCGTCCTCGTCCTCGTCCTCGTCCTCGTCTCCTCGTCCTCGTCCTCGTCCTCGTCCTCCTCCTCCTCCTCCTCCTCCTCCTTCCCAGCCAGCTTGGTTGCCATCGCCGCTATGGCGTGGCCTTCAGTACGGTCTCGCGCTTTGAAGGTGCTGGCGTGGGACGAGCGGCAAGCGTCCGCGATGATCGAGAGCGTCACTCGGATACCGATCCTCTCAGCGACGTCAGGTGTGGCGGTGCTGGCAGGCTGATATTTCCGGGATGCGATTGGCGTGGCGCTTGGCATGCCCACCGGGATTGGAGTACCTGCGGGGTCCCGAGGGGCATGGCGTGGCCAGCAGGCTACCGACGGGCCAGCGCCCAGAGGCTTGCAACCCATCGGGACGACAGGTTCGACTCAGACAGCTCTCCGGCTCCTGCTCGATCACCCTGGGGATCCACATCGCCACCCTGAGCCGAGGCGTCTCGCGCTTGAGCATATGTAGATGTCAGACATGTGGCCTGTTTTTGTGATGTGCCCTGCTTCAGTCTACCCTGTCCCAGCTGGCTGGGAGAATTGTGGAACAGAGTGGACAGTCACAGCTGAGAATAAGTTTGGAACCTCTTGTCGAGTGTTGCATGGCTGTCTTCTGATCGTGGTGCCGTAGGGTCGTCATCACCGCAGCCTGCAGCATGTCGGCCCGGGTGGCCGCCTCATGAGCAGGCGGCAAGGGGCGCTCGGTGCAGACGAGGTGCTCACGGGAACCCCCCAGACCTCGCACCCAGGATACAAAACGTGGTGCTTGTGCAGGCGTTGCGCAGTAGTCACCTGTTGTTGTTCCTCATTCGCGCGTCCTGTCACCGGCACGGCTGGGCCCCTGGTACCCTTTCGTGCTACGGTGGACGCGTCTGCCCGGCAGGAGAAGCTTCGTCTCTTCCTGTTGGGCCTTCCATTTTACATATTCTTTTCACATCCATAACCGTCGGTTCCAAGAGAATTTAAGCTTGTCCTTACCTTTTCCTCCGGGTCGCGAGCATGGCTGCCGCACTTGTTGCGCAAGCCGGTCGTGCCTGTCACGACTTGGGCGTGGCGTGCCTTCGTGCCACCCCGGCGGAACTGCAAGGTGACTTGGCTTTGGCGGCAGCTGCGCCCCTGCTCCGAGAACGAGTCGTCGCACATTTGACAGAAGTGCTTTGCCGGAGGAGGCCGCCCAACAGACTTTGGGATGTGTTTTCGGACTGTGTCCAGAAGTGGTTGTTGTTCCTGTTCCCCCCACACATGCGTTGGCGAAGAAGAAATCAGGCGGTTGAGTCTGTTTGGGCCGCCTTTGCTGCATGCCGTTCGTTGCTGTGGTTGTCGCGGAACTATTCTTCAAAGCACGCCCGCAAGGCTGCGCTGCTCCTGGAGCCCCAACACAGATGGGCTCCATGGAGGCGAGACCGGCCGAGGGATTGGACCAC